TTACATCATTAATGATGCAATAAATACCTAAAATGTGCCCTCAACGGTATTATAAAGTTATAAATCCCATTGCTGGCGTAATCAGCTGCCAGTATAATGGTCTTATTCTGCCAATTGTATTCTTTGGCATTTCTATAGCTGCAATGCTGACACACCTAATAAACAATAAAAAAAAAAGAAAAGAGAAATTTGTAAGTATGAGAAATCGACAGAATTTTATTTAATTTTTATAATTTATTTTTACTTTTCAAAGATTGATTTGCATATGTTTGTCGAACATACCTGAGCCAACTGAAGACAACAAAGAGGCTTCTTCTCCTTGAGAAGATAGCACAAAGTCGGTGAGACTCCAATGAAGGGCGAAACTGGTGGGAATCCCTTGACAATCCTGCAATACAATTGAAATTTGATTATTTCGTCCCAACGCTCCTGCGTATGATGCTAGAGTTTGATGTCGTGCTCTTAACAAATATCGCTTGGGGATAACCAAGTGATAACGCGACTATTTCAGAAGGCGTGTTACCAACTGATAAAGATAATAGAGCTTAAGCTGATACTCATTTCTTTAAATTAGATTAAAATTGAATTAACTTTTCGTTATATTTTGTATATATGCAAAATAATCTTTTTTAGAAAAATATACGTTGCAAAGATACGCAGCTCTTCTATGGAGAAGAACGTACCTCTCTCGAAAATTTTTATTTATTGATTTTTAGTTCCTTGAAAGTCGAAGATGAATCGCTTGAAAGAGATGAAAGAGTGCAAGTCGTTTTACGTTACTCTCGGATTTCTTGAGTATCATCGTATCACGTGATCCAAACCATGAATAATGTTCAATATTGGAATAGTATTATGTCTAATTGAATGCATTTATATATGTACATAATATTTATATGATTCATAAATGTGTTTATAAATTTTATATTTTAAAGTAATTTATATTTATTAATTTAGAAAAGTTTACAAGGTTTTTACGATAAGAATAATGATATTTATGAGTTTCAGTATTATATTTTTATATTCATTTTTAGTTGCTATTAATTTGTTTTTGACGCCACAATTAAAATTATTATTTGACTTATAAATATATATGTTTTTAATAATATTTCGTATTGTAGATTTAATATTATTTAATTTTAATATGTAGCTTGCATACATGATTAATGAACATTTGAAATATAAATAACAAAAGAAATTAAAGTTTTATTTACATTGGTTTGTTATAATCACATATAACACAATAACACACATCGCGAATATCATAAAATTATTAACAATGTCGTTTTGATGTCACTGTTATTTTTTTATATATACTTACGACATTATTTTGACGAGCAAGCCTCTAAGTTTGGAGAGAGAGAGAGAGAGAGAGAGAGAGAGAGAGAGAGAGAAGAAGAAGAAGAAGAAGA